GGGAAGGGGGTGAGGAGGGGAGGGGAGGGGAGGAGGACGCTTCCCGCTCGGCGCAATGCCGCTAATTGGAAGACCCAAACGCCTCCGCCGCCTTCGCTACGCCACTTCCCACCCATCACGCCTTGCAAGGCGTCGCTCCTCTAACCCTACATTGTTCAGACAGCCTGTCGTTGTCGCCTCCTTTCACCACGGCGCCAACACCGGCAGTGGTTCACTGGTCGCTTCATTTTAGAAAATAGTATAAGTTTGCATTGTCCATGACGCCATCGTCATCTCTTTACTCGACATCTTCACCTGTGCTCTGTTTCTTGAATCGCTTCTCAACGCGCCTACATCATCCATATCGCTTTTCCTCTTCATATCGTACTCCGGCACTGCATATGTTATCATTATGATTGCAACTATGCACGCCTCTCTGCCGCGTTGGCAACTTATGCGTCCAAATCGCTCGCGACCTCCCTCGTAGTTTCCTTTTCTGAAGCTGCAAGGACCATCACGGCCTCTATTACTGTGGCACCTTGCACCTACGCCGTCATCACTTTCCTCGGCCGTGCAGGCGTATCACCGCCGTTGGCTCTCTCCCCGATACTTCCCTTACACACGTAATTCACATTATCTTCGCCTCCTTGCCCCGTTCCCGCAGGTGCCATCGCCGTTGTCTCTCTTGTCGCGGCTTCTCTACTCGCCAACATCGTCCACGTAACTCCCTCCGTCACCGTCGCTGTCCTTCTTCCACGTGGTTGCCGACCTCAAACTCATCGCAGTTGTCTCATGGCATATCATGATTTTCATCACCCTGGGTACATACTACATCTTTTCCTGTGCAACCATCACTTTTATCATTTTCGCCAGCTTTATAATTTATTTTGCCAATGTCGATTCATTGTCTCCCACCTCTTACTTGGCCCCCAGTTCTAAAGCTGCCACATTGCCACGACAACTACAATCATGATCCTCACTGCACTCCGAACCGTAGAGAGCACGCTAACTTTCCGCCTCCAGTTGCCGTGATTAAAATCCAATAAATCAATGAGGATTAGGACATCCTGTAATGCAGTGGCCAGCGTGCAAGCTTTTCATCTCTAAGAACCTGAGTTCGAATCCTGACCACCAAATGTGGAATTTGTGGTGGTCGAAGCGGCAGGGCCCCTCGGACCTTTCCTACTTGCCCTCGGACTTACCATCATTGTTCTATTGAACTATTATCATTTACTTCATAATTATTATCCATTAACAAAGCATATTTAGCAAAAGCCTCATCAGAAACAGGGCAAAAATAAAACAATTTTTTCGAATTGTCACCCACCATAACCTCCGTGAGTCGGTGCAGGTTGCCGCTAATACAACACTTCCAGACACCCCTTGGGTCTCCACCATCTTCCTTTTGCCTTGCACCTCTTGTCACGCACGTCACCGTTCTTTTTCCTTTAGTGCTTATAATTACATCTTCGCGTTTTGCATACACGAGATTTTCCTTCTTCCAGTTTCCCTAACCATTCCTTTATTTAAATAACACATAATTTTGACAATAACTGACATTTGTGTATCGGAGTTCTTCCAAACCAATAAATTCTATGTATAATACTCTAATAAATCTTTCATACCTAATGAACACTAATGTAAATAAATCAGAAATGTATCATATTTGAAGAAAATAATTTTATATTGCATAACATTCAAATTTTCACAATTTCAAAATCTCAGAATGCATTCTGAAAAACGTCGAATTTTTTTCTACGGAGTCTATCGTGTTCGCAGCTATATGAATTTAAGAAACATAACTTTCAAGCGAAAATTCTAAACGAAATTTTATTTTTAAAATTAATACGGTGAACCTCAGATTATCAATTTCCGTTCCTTTTGTGGTAATATGTTTACAGAAAACATTGAGTGTGGTTTTGAAACTGCACACCCACTTCTCGTGTGTCTTGTCACACGTGAAAGTTCCTTTATGTTGAGTCAAACTCTGTTGCTTCATACTCTGATGTCGGCGAATTTGCAGCCTGTCATCAGTTATTCTGACTTTCCCTGGGTTCCCCTGCTCGTGCAAAGCGAATCTCCGGCAATGAAAGGTTAATATCCCTGAGAAAATACTATTCTCTGTAGTGTGCCATACTCATGACTGATAAAAGTTCTTGTACGTTACCTTTCAAATAACCCTACAAAGATTCTTTGCTTCATCTAATGTTGTAAGTGATGAACATATATGGCTCTTTATATATGTAGTTTGTATTGCTGATGATATTCAAAATCTTAATAAATAACCATGCTGAAAACTGTTTTCTAAGAATGGTATCAAATATTTAATTAGTGTCAGAATACGATGTCAATATTCTATTTTTTAACTACCGGATCATAAGCGACAACGAGACTCAATTTAGAATACGCACAAGATTACACATATTATGCAATACATACAATAAATAGTCAAAAAGTGTGAATAGTTTGGGTTTCTTAAAACATGCACATATTTATTTACAATACACAGGTCTTTAATATTAAGAACTTGATTGAAGGACGACCAATATGTATACTGTGGTGTGATCCTGTTTGTAATGATTGAAACTTTACAAATATGATGGTGGATGTTACAGCCCGCAAATATTACGTAAGGTGGGACTAAAAACCTAGAAATTGTAATTGACACGCATTCCTATTTATAAATAGATGTCTCATGTATCTACATGTGCTTGGAATTTTATTGATTTATTGACCCTCAATGAATTGACTATGAAACATTTTATGAAACAATATGATCCACCAAAAGAAGCCTCCGATCTTATTGAGATTTCTGGAAAGTTGGAAAGAAAACAGGCTGGTTTGTTTGCTATCTCAAAGGAAACTCACCACAAGTTACAAGACATAAAACAATTTTATGGATTATACGGATGGTGTATTTCAAATTGTTGCTCAAAATACACTTAACGTTTTTTGTTGTTTTCTTCATCAAAACAAAACACATTCAATTGTGCTTCTGTCGAACCCACGACCATACGCCAAGATCTCAACTGTTTTCAAGACCGAATAGAATTAGCACTTTTTAATGCAATTTATTAGAAAATACATAACACCATGATATGTGAGTTTACACCATCGCATGGTATGGCAAACCTCCAGATCGCACACCCTCAGAAAATCCTAAGGGCGTCATGACACACTTGTGGCAAGAAAACTGAACCCATTTAAATGTTCGGACACAATTAAATTCGCAGACAATTCCCGATCTAATCAGGTTCCATATTCGCTCATGTGGGTACCAACGCAAGAAATGGATAAATATGTCTGATTCTGGCTGTCTTTGTACCGTTCCCTGGCGAGACAATTGCACGCGAGACAAAAATACCTAGTAGCGTTGAACGTCCATGTGGTTCTAAATTCGAAAATTTCTAGCAATCCAGCGAACTGCTAGTGAAAGCGAACTCGTTAGCCACAACCCGTCCATACGGTGCTACGCTCCATTGGCCCATGGGGAGTGAAAATATTCCCCGCAGGCGCGGGAAACGAAGAACGGGCAGACGAATGTGTAATACGACTCTTTCAACTGAACCCCGGCCTATCAGCCTGGTAAGCAATGTCATCGTTTTTAAGAAAATGCAACACCCGCTCTTCATGGGATCTGGAAGCGAACGCGTCGCGGATTGCGACAATCCGTGGCGGAGCGGCGCGGGCGGGAGAAAGGAACTGCGTCAGTGGTCTCAAGGACGCGCCTCTGCGAAAGAGGAAACGCGGCGGTGATCGGGCGGCGCTTTCGCCGCGACCTGTCCCGGTTAGCGGCGGAGGTGAGGCCGCCGCCGCCGCCGCCGCCTCGAGCCTATTGGTCCACGGGCGCTTCGACGGGATCGTCGATTGCTCGGCAAATTTATGCCGAAAGCCTCCCTTGCTGCGGTAAAAGGCAATCGAACACCCGCGGCTCGGGAAGTAGTGTGTGTGTGTGTGTGGGGGGGGGTGTTAACGATGGGGAGCGGTGTTACTCAAACCTCTAGGGCACCTACGTGAGCTCATATTACGAGTAAAACGTTGTTAGTAAGTCAGATTTGTGACGTGATTTTGCAAACACGATTTACATTTAAATTATAAATGAAATTGTAATTTAAAGACGAGGCTCGCAGGACATTCTACAAAACCCAGTGTGGTATTTCGTCAAGCACGGTCAAGTCCAGGAAAATGCGTAAGGTAATCGGT